GGGACACCTGGATGGCTAAGTTGGTTAAGCGACTGCCTTCGGCTCAGGTCATGATCCTGGAGTCCTGGGATCGAGTCCCGCATCGGGCTCCCTGCTCAGCGGGGAGTCTGCTTCTCCCTCTGACCCTCCCCTCTCTCATGTGCACTCTCTCACTCATTCTCTCTCTCTCAAATAAATAAAATCTTTAAAAAAAAAAAAAAGACTTGTCATGTCCTCATCTCAACCCCCACAAAAAAATTCATAAATCCTGCCCCAAATCATGCACTCAGCTACTAAGTTTAAAGTGGCTTGAGGTATTTGATTATAGTCCCATTCTTCATTGGATTGTTACAGCCCAAGAAGGCTGTCACCATGATTGGCTTCATTTGCCTTTTGTTGCTGAGGAAGATCTAGATGAGATCATGTAACCTAACTCTTGTGTCGGAAAATAGCTACACTAGCTCCAGCGTGTTAGCGGTATCTGTATCGTCCCTTTCATTTCCTGATATTGAAATACAAAATCACTGTTTTTCTTGTACCAGGATCCACTTAAATGGTGAGGCTCTTCACCCTGAGTCAGGAGAGAAGTTCTCACAGCTACGCTTTCTACCAGGTCTGGGGTACTATTGCTCTTTTGTTTAAAAATGATAACTATAAATATAAAATTATTATTTTCTGGGGGTATACTATGTAATAAATTCTAAAATAGAGAACAAACCTCTCCTTAAACCAATAATTTAAAAATATCACTCATCTACCTCATATCCCTTGTCCTCAAAACAAACCTAAGTATAGCAGATGTTATTATGAAATTTGTCTGTTTGTGCTGTCCAGTACAACAGCTACTTGACATATGTGACTACTTAAATAAGAAAATAAAATAAAATTAGGAATTTGGTTCTTTAGCTGAACTAGCCACATTTCAAGTGCCCAGTAACCATGTGTGGTTAGTGGTTATCATATTGATCAACGCAACTATATACCAGTTCTGCCATTATAGAATGTTCTGTTGCTCTAAGTAAGTAAACTCTTGTAGAAAATGCTTAATTTGCCTAAAGGCAAAATCAAAGTTAAATCCAGGTCTTCACTGTAGGCTTTTCCATGCACCATGTTTCCAAAGAGAGCTTTAACACAGTAGTGCTAAGAACTAAACCACCCCCCAAAGTGGGGAGTTAGACCCCATTGCAGTATAACATAAACGTATTCCTCGGGCATTTGGTTTTGCAAATCCTGGTTAAAAACCATGAAGGTTTTATTGTTGCTAGATGGGTTTTCCTGCTTTCTTCTGTTGGTTGGTTTGTTTAATTAACATGACTCCAGCGTGGTGACTGTTGACTGTAAGAACTTTCAGGAAACAATTTATATAAGATCACAAATCCTGCAGGCGAACGTGTGCGCTCTAACAAGCATGCTGCCGCAGCTGACCACAAACCCACAAGCAGCTGCAGCTGAAAGAGAACAAAGAAATCTCCTTGTCTTTCCTTTCTCTGGCACATGCATTCCTTGAATGCCCATGCCTGACACACATTCACCCTGGAACTAGAACATTCTCACCTCTCACCTGACCTCCAGGTTGGTCAACCTGTCCTCCTGTCCCATGAGGGTCTCAGCAAGGCCATATTGCTTGATACCCTTCTCAGAAGCTTCCTCTTTCTCTTATTAATTTTAAAGTGACTTGGGTATATTCAAGATAGTCAATTCTGCATTGGATTGTCACATCCCAGCAAGGCTGTCACTATGATTGGCTTCAATGGCCTTTTATTGCTGACAAAGTTGCAGTTTGACAAAGTATCTCACTCAAAGGTATGGGTCCCCTGACCCGCTGTAGTTTGCCCACCAGAATAGTGTTCAATAACCATCACCTTCTTCCAAAACAGGATGACTAACTCAAATGAGATACAAACCTTTGCCTCATCTGCATTCATGAGCTGCCCGCAGAGCAGGAACCCCTCATACTGGTTCCAGGGAACCACAGGCTCCGGGAGGTCTCGGAGATAGAGCTTTAACAGGGAGGCCACTGTGTGCACGTCTGTCTCTCTGCAAAAAAATAAGCAATGTTCTTTGAAAGTGAAACTCCAGAACACTCCTCCCCTCCCCCCTGGTGATCCACTGAATAGAATCCCAGGTTCCCAAAGGGAGTTTTGCAAAGGAGTAGAGTCTGATAAAGATGTATCCAAACACACCATCTTTGCTAATCTTCTAGAATAATGACCCCCAACACTTCTTCCTTTATCTCTTCCACCAACTACCTCAAAGGTAAGTTCAAGGGCTACCTTTTCATTAATCCTATTAAATTATTTTTGTCTTACTGGGGAGGGTATGTGCTCTGGTAAGCGCTGTGAATTGTGCAAGACTGTTGAATCTCAGATCTGTACCTCTGAAACAAATAATGCAATATATGTTAA